TGGCGTGTTGATATACAGAAGGAGTGATATTAATAAAAGATTGAATATATGACGCTGTATATAATATCAGAATTAAAAATAACAAATAATTATTAATTTAACAACTCATTTAAATCAGTAATTTGCAAGCGAATGAATTTGACATTTTGACAATATACTTTTTATTAAAATGTGTCTGTGTTATATGGCTAGTTTATGCAAGGAGGTTGGTAGCCTACATACCTATCTGGTATAAAAAACCGTTTCAATTCTACGAGAATCAAAACTACGACCATCGAAAGCAATGAGATAACCATTTAGTTCAGGTTCATCGTTTAGTAAATTATAAACTGTAGGGACCGAACACTAAACGAGTTAGTAAACTTTCTATCTCCCAAAGTTAGAATAGCAAGTTTACTTTCATACCCAAATAATCTAAGTTTAAATTAACTTTAAACTGTTGTCGTTTTGATGCGAAACCTTATGAGGGTATCATATGAAAATAAAGCAATTTACAATAAAGAGTTGCAATATAACTGATGAATTTTTAAATGGAATTTAAATGTTTGTTATGAAAATGTGCAATTTTGGAATAAGTAGTTTTAACCGCGATTTCGCTCGCGTCTGCAATTAATAATTATAATAATAATATTAATAATCTCAGGACAATTCACACAGCACCATCTAGACCCAAGTTAAGCTAGCTAAAGCTTGTGTTATGGATATAAATATATAGATATATTTTTCTTATCGTAAATACATACGTAGAAAACACCCAGACCGATATAAATAATACTCATGAATACAAATGTTTGTGCAGTGCGAGGAATCGAACCCGCGACCATCTACTAGATCACCGTGACCGTCAGTTGATTTTTTCTAATGAAATACCTAATAAGTTAAGGGTTCAATTGATGGTAAGTCTGCTGTCGTTTTTTCTTCGAATCTTTTAATTCTTTTAGCCATAACTGGGCTTTACAGCTTCACAAGACGAAACTATCGCTCCTTCAATTCCTAACCCTGACCGGACTATGATCACGATAGATCTATATAGGCCACAGTGCTACAAATCTTAGTACCTGACAATAGCCCAAATCTCTCATTAAAAAAAAATCTGTCGCCTATGTATATACATGAAGAGTAACGTAGGCGACGTCATCAAGTAACACTCGATGTACAATCGAACAAGATTACGTTTGTTTTAGTTCCTAAGTGTGCCACTAGATGGCGTTGTTTAGTTTATACTTTATTCTACATCACGCTATTTAGATTTTTTTAGAACACATATAGTCATTTAATAATTATTAATTACATACCCACCCTAACCCGCTTATAGTCAGTGCGGTTGACTACGCACCGAGGAGTAATATCCGACATACGCGACAACGTCGCCCGAGGCACGTTCTCATTGACCCCGACAACCCCATAACGGCAGGTAACCTCCCCACGGGCCCACCCTTTCCACCCCGACCACAATTTACACACACACACGACACTGTCCTCGCCGACGAAGACGACGACCTCAAACACTCAATATCGCGCATTCAACCGGGCGCCTGCGCGCGCCCGGGCGCTTCACACTGGCGCCCCTCCGATCGATTCCCCGTCAAACGGGGATCGAAATTACGACGGCCTGAGCCGAGGTTCGAACCCCTAGTGGTGCCTTCAGACTAAAGTCGTATCCGTCGGGCAGGAGTTGGCCTTCAGCCGCTCCATAAGTCCTTCCGCGGGTTTGGAGTGCCATCTGCACTCGCCCCATAACGTCCGGTGAAGCTGTAAAGGCTAGCTACGGCCAACAGCATTAGAGTAGTCCGAAAAAAAAAAAGTAATTACATAATATAATAACAACCACTGTGGAAAACTTTCCGTAATTTAATTTATTTAACTACTCTAATCAAAGTACACCCTTGGGGATCCGTGGATAAGATTATTTACTCAAAGTACCTGATTGACATTAAATCAAAAGGAAAGAGACAAACTGGAGGCTTTTAAAATGTGGTGTTGGAGGAGGATGGAAAGAATTAGCTGGAAGGATAAAGTAAGAAACGAAGAAGTACTACACAGGGTAAAAGAAAAAAGACAAATATTGAACACCATAGAAAATAGACGAGGAAAAATGTTAGGGCACTTGATACGGCACGATGATTTCATGAAAATTATTATTGAGGGGAAAATAGAAGGAAAGAGGGGGAGGGGAAGACCAAGGAATAGCTACATCAAATAAATTGAGGACAAAATGGGAGTCGTGTCGTATCAAGAATTAAAGAGCATGATGGAAGATCGCGGAAAGTGGCAAGAGCTCCACCGACAAGAGCGTAGCTCTTAAATTATGAATGAAATGAATGAAAAACCTGATTGACATGTTACTTCTCCTTTAACGACATCTACTGTCAAGTATAGGAGTTGAATCTGTAAATTATATAGGATAGTGCTTTACAAAAATCTTTTATATTTAAAATCGTATTGTCAGTCGTTTTACACGTGCGGCCTATGGTTTGGGTATACGCAGAGGGCATACAACGTTCTTCGTATACAGTATAATAATGGGTTTAGGATGTTGTTGGGGCTCCCTCAGTTTTGTAGCGCATCAGAGATGTTTGCAGCAGCGCGGGTAGATGGATTTGAAGCCATAATGCGTAAAAGAGCTGCATCACTGATGTCTAGAATTCGGGGGAGCTCAAACAGCATCCTAAAAACTGTTGCGAATATACCTGATTGTCCGCTCCAGAGGCACTGGATAACGTTGCGGACCCAGTGCTTCTGGACGTGGACACAGATATATGAATTAAATATATCTACGTATATGTACATATATTATAAGTTACTAACATAGTTTTATAAGTTTTTTACTAACACAATATGGATGTAATCCGAATTAAAATTAAAATAAATAAATAAAATATTTCTTTCTGCTATCATATATATCTTTTAATCCCAACATTTAGTTTCATTGTTAGCATAGAATAGCATTGGTGCTCATTATAATACAATAAGATTTTATCTTCTTTTTCTGTTTCTTAGAACAGTCCGACTTCATGCGGGGTCGGTTTTATTAATTTTGCGGCGCCAGGGCAATCGGTCCTGGGTTGTTGGGTCGAGAAGAATTAGAATTTTTCCGTTGCAATAAGCTTACTCATGCTGATCCACCAGGTGGCTGGAGGACGCCCTATAACTCTTTTACGTTCAGGTAGTCTTAAGGCTTTTTGCCATATAATCCTCGTTACTTTACATTACATGGCCATACAATAAGACTATATAAATTTATGAATAACTAGCTGTTCCCGCGACTTTGTCCGCGTGGAATTTAACTTTATTTTTCTAAAATAAAAGTAGACTAAGTTATTTCTTATTACATCAGCTACCTGCCAAAAAAAGTCCTGTCAAAATCGGTCCAGCCATTTCAGAGATTAGCCGGAACAAACAGACAGACAGACAAAAATAATAAAAAATGTTATTTTGGTATATGTACCGTATATATATACAGATGCATGTAGTAAAAAACGGTTATTTCAATATTACAAACAGACACTCCAATTATATTTATATGTATAGATATAGGACAGAGTTTTATCACTTATTTCTTTTAAACTAGTAAGCAATTTTAATGCAGTTTTCACTATGATTTGAAAAGTTTCTTCCCGAATGTTTATATGTATTATAGTTATTCGACCTCAGTTACTTGAACTAACACAATACCTACGTGCGAAGCCAAGGTGTAACACTAGTATTCAAATAAACGAAAATTACGTTTACTTTGATTCCCATAAAAGAAGATTGACTTGAATCATATCGCGCATAAAATCGACTCCGTGGGGAAATTTATCAATGTTTATAGCATCCATAATATTTCTGTTTTCAACTAAGGCCTAACTATAAAACAAAAATGGTGGCTACCAATTGTCCACGGCATATTGGACTTTAGTAATGTTCGTATATGATATGTTTTCCTTTGGTAAATGGTTGGAATGATGTATTCTGTGGTCTGATTGATGCGCCAGCTTCCGTGGTAGGGTAGATTATTCGTGCACACATGTACCACATTATCTTTATTGTTTAACCCTCTATCTCGCGGACGGCGGCGCCGCTGAAATATCTTACGCGGTGTATATTGGACAACGAAATGATGTAGTACACTAATTTTTCATTTCACCTACACGAACATGTGTGGAATTATTATAGCTATTATGAAATTACGTGACATTGTTACATTAGTTGAATTAAAATGGGAATGTAATTAATTTATATGCGGTCGAAGTGAGAGCGAGATCTATACCAGCAAAATCTCTACAATTTTCTAAATCTTGGACCGAATGCACTGGCGGGCTCCTAGTTAGTCTGGGTTAGTTTGACTTAGTCGCGGTTGACTGTTATCGATCCCGCGACTCCGGCATATGGCTTTGGGTGAGGGACATCTTGGAGTTTTTAGTGAGTAGGAGTCTCACATTACCCGCGGGCTTCCCTCGGGGCCGGCGGGTCTTCATGAGGGATTTTCTCCAAGTAAAAAAAAAAGGGTTAGTTTGAGTTAGTCTGGGCAGAGAGAGAATCAAGGTATCTCATCATGTATTAGATACCGTTTGATATCGAGATACCGGTGATTGTGCACGTACAGATCTTGTAAATATATATCTTTTTCTTCAACCTCGCCTCTTCCCGTTACGCGGGGTTGGCTTTTCTAATCTTAAGGCGCTATACACTTTGCTGGTAAGCACTGTCATTTGACGAGTCCAACTCCTTCATGTCCCTATGGACATTAGTCAACCAGGTAGTTGGTGGCCTGCCTCATACTCTTTTTCACAACATGGTTTTCAGGTTTACGCAGAATATGTCCATACCACCTAAATCTACTAGTAGGTATTGTAAGTATATATAATTGTAATATATTGTAACAGCCTCAAAATATAGGGAGCTCTTTAGTAATATCATTATTTGAAATATCTCGATTAATGTTGTCATGGAAAATATCTCATCTTTATATTGCAATTACTCGATAATATTTAGTTATATAAAATTAAATAACTCACCTAGTCTTAAAATTTTAGTAAAGAACACTTGGTATATGGTGGCACTCGTTGTTTTCCTATAACGTAACCTGTAACAAGAAAAGATAAATAAATTAGATTTTCTATATAATAATCAGCCTGGACTAAGCTAAGCAGGACTTGTGTTATGGGTATTAAACAACATAATCGTCCTTCGGTTCAATGGCAACTAAAATGTAGCTCTGAATGTTGCGACGACTTTAGCGTAATGGAGCGGATTTTTTTATTTATTTATTCATTTGCATTCCATAGTGTTACAATAAAGGTTGGCAATAACTAATTATTATAATATAATAAATTTTGTAATGACATATTGTAAATTAAATAATGTAAATTTAATATTGTAATGGGTGAAAACTGTGATCGGTACAGCCTATGCTGTAAATAATATAATTGACGTAGTGGAGTAACCTGAAACAGTCATGCTCGCTATAAAGTTCAAACTTGTGGCGGCGTTGTGGGCCGGGTCGATGTGCTCCCTCAAATATGGTTGAGTACAATGATGGCTGGCTCATCCGTCATACTCGTGAACGGGTGCTGCTTGTGGAGACTGGTCTGTTCAGGTTGTGAACACTGATTAAATTTTTTGTTCTTTGCGATAGCATGTGCTGGTGGTCACTCTATTCTCCCAAATATGAATTTTAATAACTGTATTTATCATAAACATGTTCCACTATTATTTGAAAAAAATACGAGCTGAGTTTCTTGTCAGTTCTTCTCATCTCGATATCATTCCGAACTGACGGTAGATTTGACATATCATAAGAGTCTGTAATAGACCTACATGAATAAAGATATTTTTAATTTGAATTTGAAATTTGAATAAGAGCACCATGGACCCTTATGGGCGCAGCAAGCTACAATGAGATAAACTGGCGTTGACAGAATTCAATTATTTTATATATTATTTTTCTGATCGTTTTGTACACATTATTATTATACTAGATGAAAACCCGGCTTCGCTCGGGTGAAACGTGGGTAGATATTTCTGTAGTCATCGGTTCTCATGGAATATTAAAAGTAAGCAAGGCATAGATTTGTAAAGCTTCGTTTTAATAATATTTTTTAGTTTTAATAATAATTAATAAATATAGTAAATAAAAAGTGCAAAAATTTTTATACAAATATTTTTTTTTTTATTGTAAAACTTTAAGTTGGGCTAAAAAGGACTTGTATCATAATAAAAATAGTACAAACTTTTTTTATGCTACATTTTTTATATACTCAGTCTTATTCTTATTTATTACACATAGAACCTTCTACGTGTACTAAATAGGAACTAATTTCCAATAGCACAAAATAATTCACGGTCAGTATTGAATTTTATATGCATTAAGGCCGCGCCGTCATTCAGCTGTCTACTGGTTGATTAGATCTCCCTGATTTACCGCGAACGATGGAGGCGTCTTAACCTTGATGCTTTAATGACGATATCACGAGAAAACCTTGAAAATTAAAGCAGTTCACGAAGACGAACCTAGTACTTTGTGGTATTACATCAAGAATTAACGTTTGAAGAGCTCGGTAGTCTAGCAGTTTAGCTCACCAGCTTACTTCCGCTGGTCGCGGAATAGCGGTTTAGTACATCCCCTTACTTTCGATGGTTGCGGGTTCGATTCCTCGCATGATACAAACGTTTGTATTCATGAGTATGATTGTTTGTATCTGTCTGTGTTTTTTGTGTATATTACGTATATATTTAATAAAAAAAAGACTATATATTTTGTCTGTGATCGCAAAGATCTCTTTAATATATTTAAGAATCATTTTAAAATTTCAAATTTGGAACGTCAGGCACAGAACATTGATGTATCTTAAATATAAAATTCTCGTGTCACCGTTTTCGTTCCCATACTCCTCCGAAACGGCTTGACCGATTCTCATGAAATTTTGTGAGCGTATTGAGTAGGTCTGAGAATCAGCCAACATATATTTTTCGTCCCCCTAAATGTTAGGGGTAGTCACCCCTAAATTTTTATTTTATTTTATGGCAAAACAACGTTTGCCGGGACAGCTAGTTTTATATACAATTTTGGACTCCTTCTCGAACATTCCGTGGCGTCATTATTAAAATCTGTGTACAATATATTCTAAATATTTTATTTATTACAATTAAAACAAATCAAACACTGCAATATTTCTCCAGCTAACATATTTATATCAGTTGTCTAGTACGTATAATATAAGCTCTACTTAGCTTGAGACTAGACGGTACTGTGTAAATTGTAACAAGAATCGCATGGTATATTTTTTTATAACGGAATGTATCCGTCTGCGACATTCTCAGGCGATTCTATTCCAGAAATACATTCCTAAAATGTTACGCCTCTTTAATCTGTGCCATAGATAGATAGATAAATTCTTTATTCAACAATTACACACATAACATACATGAGATACAGAAAAAATATTAATTAATAAAAGAAATGTAAGTGTCTTTATGTACCGCAAAAATGAAAAGGCAGCCAACTCGGCATAATGCTGCAGATAAATCTGCAGCGCTGATATTCTGTTGGCTCCTTACTTATACTATACTTATTTAAAAAAAATTACATTCGAGCTTTTTGTAAAAATATATAAAGTATGAATAAACTGTAAATAATGTGATTAATTAGCTGAAAATAGCTATTGAAAACTTCGGATTATATGATTTTATTCTTTATTGAGGGTTTTGGGCTATTGTCAGGTGTAGCACTGTGACCTATATAGATCTACTGTGCTCGCACTTTTCTCAAAATCCGCTACCTAGATCCGTCAGGGACAAGAATTGAAGCATGTTCTTAGGAGCGATAGATTCTATCTCCTCAAGACATACTGCATACTTTCCAAAGGAGATATTTCGTTTATGCATGTGTGGGATACAACCACATAGGAAGTGTAGTGGCGTTTGTTCTTCTACATGGCAAAATCTGTAGATTGTTGTTAAGCTGAGGCCCAATTTTGCCATGTATTTATTCGCAAGGCTCTAGTCATGATTTCTAGAAACAAGGAACCTAACCTGCTTTGAGGGCGGACAAGACCAGACCATGAAAACAATAACTTAGATGTTAAGTAAACAACAATAAAGTTGCAAATAAAAAGTTACAATAAAATTATATAAAAGAGCAACACGCAAGTTTCTTGCTCGTTCTTCTTATGATGAAGCAGTTGTCCAAATGAGCGGTATATTAAAAAAATAAATGATGACGATTCAAAAGTGCTTCAATGTAAGTTTATTTGAATAAATGATTTTCTATTCCATTCTTCGGTTTATATGAAAACAGTAACTTAGATGTTAAGTAGAAAACAATAAAGTTGCTTGGTGGACGGTCCGCCGGTTGATTAGATAGCCGTAATTTACACCCGCTGATCGATGGAAGCGTCTCGACCTTGTGCACTTTGTAAATGGTGTTAGTAACTTTCTTGTGTGCCACGGACTAATACTACAGAGCCGTCAATTGACAATGGTGACAGTGCGATTTTTTTATAGCATAGGGGACAATCGAGCTTGGTCCTCACCTGATAGTAAATTACCGCTGCCTATAAGCACCATCAATACTAAGGGCATTTTAAGTGTGTTGTCGCCCATGAGTGCCCTCATCACCAGGGGTATTGCAAAGTGTGTTGTCAGTCTTTTAAGAAGGAATACCGAGCTTGTAGCTCACCTGATTGTACGTGATAACCGTCGCCCATGAGCACCCTCAACACCAGAGGTTTTGCAAAGTGTGTTGTCAGTCTTTTAAGAAGGAATACCGAGCTTGTAGCTCACCTGATTGTAGGTGATAACCGTCGCCCATGAGCACCCTCAACACCAGAGGTTTTGCAAAGTGAGTTGTCAGTCTTTTAAGAAGGAATACCGAGCTTGTGGCTCACCTAATTGTAGGTGATAACCATCGCCCATGAGCACTCTCAACACCAGGGGTATTGCAAAGTGTGTTGTCAGTCTTTAAGAAGGAATACCGAGCTTGTAGCTCACCTGATTGTAAGTGATAACCGTCGCCCATGAGCACTCTCAACACCAGGGGTATTGCAAAGTGTGTTGTCAGTCTTTTAAGAAGGGATACCGAGCTTGTGGCTCACCTGATTGTAAGTGATAACCGTCGCCCATGAGCACCCTCATCACCAGGGGTATTGCAAAGTGTGTTGTCAGTCTTTAAGAAGGAATACCGAGCTTATGGCTCACCTGATTGTAAGTGATAACCGTCGCCCATGAGCACTCTCAACACCAGGGGTATTGCAAAGTGTGTTGTCAGTCTTTTAAGAAGGAATACCGAGCTTGTGGCTCACCTGATTGTAGGTGATAACCGTCGCCCATGAGCACCCTCAACACCAGGGGTATTGCAAAGTGTGTTCTCAGTCTTTTAAGAAAGAATACCGAGCTTGTAGCTCATCTGATTGTAAGTGATAACCGTCGCCCATGAGCACCCTCAACACCAGAGGTTATGCAAAGTGAGTTGTCAGTCTTTTAAGAAGGAAATTGTTGCCGTTCTTTCGAGAAGGAGTATCGAGTTTGCGGCTCACCTGATGGTAAGTGATTACCGCCGCCCATCAGCACCCGCAATACAAGGGGAATTGCAAGTGCATTACCGGCCATTTAAGAAGTATTAAGCATTTTTCTAAGTCTTTCAGGGTGTGTAGAATAAACACTGTCATAAAATGGAGAACAATGTATGCCTGACCGTTCAAAAAACTACCGTAAAAATAAGATTTTTAAAATAATTAAAAATTATTCTGGCCTGTAAATAAATATAACAATAAGAGTAACATACATATTCTATTCTATTATATTCTATTCTATGGACATCAGTATTGGTTTTGCTACAATTAAGTTAAATCTATGTATCTAACTACTAACAGCATTGTAAAATTGTTTGTATTCCAAATAAATAAAAAAACTAGCTGAGTGTGAATTAAAAAATACACTTTTTTAATTAATTCAAAATATTTAGCTTAGCGGAAACAATTTAAATCCGTTATGTATGTCCATATGTCTATAAGTCCATTTAAGGACTTCCACGGCCCAGGACCGATGTGCCTGGCGATGAAGGACTAGGAGAGTCGACCCCAAATG